ACTTCAGCCTCTTGAGTAGCCTAGACAGTAGGCATGCACCACCATACCCAGCTAATTACTTTTCTTTGTTGTAGAGATGGAGTCTTACTGGGTTGCCCAGGTTGGTCTCAAACTCCTGGCCTCCAACAGATCTTCCTGCCTCAGTCTCCCGAAGTGCAGAGATTATAAGCATAAACCACCATGCCTGGTCCCTCTCTTATACTTTAAATCCTCTCTAGATTACTTATAATACCTAATACAATGTAAATGCTATGTCAATAATTGTTATACTGTATCATTTAGAGAATGACAAGAAAAAAATCTGTATATGCTCAGTGCAATCTGCTGTTGGTTGAATGCACGGATATGAAATTCATAGATATATAGTCCATTCTTCATGCTATGATGCTGGATTATACCTAAACTTCTCTAGATATGTAAAGGCTATTGAGCTTCTCAATTACAAAGACCAAACAATCTTCTGTAGCCCCAGTACCTACGATAACGTCTGGCAAAGTTGGTCCTCAATATTAAATTTCTTTTAACTCATTTTGGGACAAATTAATAAAACTTCTCTAAAATTCCTCAATTTTTAATAATTGTCCTCAGAGAGTTTAAATCATTCTCATGTAATTTTTATGTTAACTCAAACATCCATCTCTTCCCATCAATTAAAAACTAATTATTGGTTGGATGGCTGTAATCTGCACTTTGGGAGGCTGAGGTACGAGGACTGCTGGAGGTCAGGAGTTTGAGACCAGCCTGGTCAACATAGAAGGATCCTGTCTCTACAAAAAAGAAAAAAATTAGCTGGGTGGGTGGTATGCACCTGTAGCCCCAGCTACTAAGGAAGCTAAGGCAGGAGGATTGCTTGAGTTCAGGGCTACAGTGAGCTATGATCATGCCACTATATTCTATCTTGAGTAACAAAGCAAGACTCCTTCTCAAACAAACAAAAGCTTTAGTTATCAATAAATATTGTTTTCATAACATAGATCAGTAGTTTAAAAAATGCCCCTGGATTAGAGAACCTACAGCCTTAAGGCCACATGTGAGCTTCTAGGTCTTTTAATTGTGGCCTTTTGATTGAATCGACAAATTGAATTTACAAATTGAATACAAATTTACAGAAAAATCCTATATTCGTTTTTAAACTAAAAAATATAAAAGGTGAACAAAGTTCTATAAATAGAAATAAAAAGATTTTATTAAAATAGAAGGTCACAGGTTCCCCACCCCTGGATGGATTTAAGTACTGGCTTTTCTATGTGGCCTTCTATGTGCTATTTAACTCCATTTCTAAACTTCAGTTTCTTCATGTGTAAAATTGGTATAATTGAAGACTCTTTCCTCAATGACCACATGGAGGATTAAATAGCACTCTCATTCCTTGCCTTCTTT